TAATGTTCTAGTGTTGATGTACAGTGATGATCAATAGTTTAATGTTCCACGGTTCTTCGTGCAGATAAATCTCCATCAGTCTGCTGCTCACGATGCTCAAAGCTCATATTCAAAGAGAATATTCTATCTCTTTATTAGCATTAACGGCACCTTGTTGGCTGATGTTAATAATTCAGCAGCTCCTTGATTGGATACATATTACATCACTGTTTCCATGCAGCGATAGATAGATGGATGGATCTGTAGGTAGGTAGGTAGGTAGGTAGGTAGGTAGGTAGATAGATAGATAGATAGATAGATAGATAGATAGATAGATAGATAGATAGATAGATAGATAGATACTCACCACTTCATCTTGTCTTTCAGTTTGGGTGGCTGAAAGTTACTCTTGGTCATCAGCAACAGAGCTCTAAGAGAGTTAACAAGGAGTGTGAGTTTGTTAAAATGAATTAACCTCGTAAGTGGAGCTAACTTTCTGCTGTTAGTACATTATATACAATATGCATGTATCTATATATATATAGAGATATATATATATATATATATATATATATATATATATATATATTATACAGTATGCATATATCTTATATTTCAATGCATGTCTTTTCTTCCTTTCTTTCTACTCCACTGAGGACAAACATTGACTATCAGTTGGAGGTGAAGTTAACACACACATACACAGTAACACACACATACACACACACAGTAACACACACATACACACCTCATGGGGTGGAGGTCAAACATGGGCGGCTGTAGTTCTGCCAGTTCGATGGCGGTGATGCCGACGGCCCAGATGTCACACAGCTGATCGTATCCTCCCTTCCTCTCCACCGCCGCCACCTCCGGAGCCATCCTGCAACACACACACACACACACACACACACCATCATCATCTTCATCATCCTCCATCCTGCGACTCTCTCCGAATTAACGGGAGGGTAAAAAAAACAAAATGGCGGCTGATGAAACCGCAGAGCCGCTGACCTCAGCAGACGCCTGAGAACAAGGTCGTACCAGTACGGAGTCCCGATGAAGGATTTCCTCTTAGCGATGGTCACGGTGATCTGAGCCGACACACCAAAGTCCGCTGGCAACACACACACACACACACACACACCGGGGGTCGAAGGTTAAATCAAGCATCCCGTGCTTAAGTTAAATGTGTGTGTGTGTGAGTGTGTGTGTGTGAGTGTGTGTTTGTGAGTGTGAGCGTGGGTGTGTTTGTGTTTGTGTGTGTGAGTGCGAGTGTGTGTGTGTGTTTGTGAGTGTGAGCGTGAGTGTGTTTGTGTGTGTGAGTGTGAGTGTGTTTGTGTGTGTCAGTGTGTGAGTGTGTTTGTGTGTGTCAGTGTGTGTGAGTGTGTGTTTGTGAGTGTGAGCGTGAGTGTCAGTGTGAGTGTGTTTGTGTTTGTGTGTGTGTCAGTGTGAGTGTGTGCGTGTGTTAATGTGTGCGTGTGCGTATGTGTGCGCGTGCGTATGTGTGTGCGCGTGTATGTGTGTGTGTGTGTATGTGTCCGTGTGTGTATGTGTGCGT